AAAGCCCTGGCTGCTCTCGGCACTGGCTGAGCTACGGCTGCAGGACGAGGGGGTCGTTGCCCCTCTGCACGCTGGCTCTGCGTGCAGGTGTGCCTGGCGGGGTGGGCTGCACTGTCCTCCCCAAGTCTCCCATCAACTGTGAGAGGACAGTAAGTGACACCGGTGGGGGGGTCCCGGCAGGTGTAGGGCAGGGGGATGCCGTGACCTACACGCAGCCAACATCTGGGGGAAGATGCTCAGCACCAATCTGTCTCCGTGGATGTGCTGTTCCTAGTGCTGCACGTAGAAGTGGAGGAAGGAGGGAGCAAAAATCGGTACTGCTTCCCCATGAGGGTTTAGTTTTATCGGCAGCCATAGCTGGGAGGGGGGGTCAGCCCAAGCTGCAGCCTTATACCATGGGAAAAATTCAGATCTGGACTTAAATCCATATTTCTGTAGTTCGGGGCTCTTCGATAATGTGCAAAATGAATCTGATCACCTCCAAGCTCAGAGAAATCTGATGCTCAGTCTAGATTTGAGCTGTTTGACTTGAACCCACCTCTACCTATGGTTCAGTCATACACAGACACGTTTTAGAGGTTTCTTAGTGGATGGGTAAAAATTAAAGACATCTTTAAAAAAATCAGGAGCCCGTGTTTTAAAAAGAAACCATTCATGTGTACCTACGTCCTGCGGATTTGTTCTGTAAGGACAGACAAACCAGACGAGATACCAGCTAACTCACAGGGAAAAGACAGACTAGGGAAGGCCCATCTGCAGGGCCTCTGCCCAGGGAAAGTCTGCTGCCACAGCTGAGAACAATCACATAGAGGCAGAGACACCACACTATGCAAATCAGCCAAAAGGCTTGTTTAAAATGCCTATTTTAACACATGATCTTTTTATCCCCTTTTATTTTCCTTTTTTTAACTGTATAAGATTTGGAAAAAAACAAAGGGAGAGCTTTATGCTTCTAGTACACCCGTGTGACCGCAGAGCAGATCTGGTTGCCCAGCTGCAAACACCTACTGCTGGGCTTTCAGCAATGTTTTAAGTCAATGAAAACTCACAGGTGCTAAAAGGAGACATTGATTACTTTAAAATCATTGGGTTTCTGTGTATAATTGGTACCTCTATACAGATGTTTATCTATCTACTCATCTATCTGAAATAGCTGAGACCTGGGAGCTGGCATTTTGATGTAGCTGGGTTTCTCAAGCTTAGTTATGGTACGGTGGGTATGAATTGCTCGTAATAAAGATGCTCTTTTAAAGCAGCTATGAAAGTGGCCAGAAACAAATCAACCGGAATACAGAAAAGATATCTAACTGGCTAGCTTTAAGGCTATGTTTAATTTTCTTTTTATTTTAAATCCTAACATACTGAGGAAGGATCTTGTAGGAAGCCATATCTGAACCTCTTCTTGCTTCTAAGTGCCCTACATAAAGGCAGGCCCAGGTTTGGGTTTAGCTTAAATCTCTTTGCAAAATCTTGCTTTCATATGGCCTCAGTGAAAAAAACAAGCACTATTGGAGGGGCTGTTGTGATCTGGATCCATTGCACCGAGCACGGTGGGGTGCGGTAATTAGGCTTGGTGGTGGCTGAAATGACATCAACAGCAAAAAACCCCTGTTGAGTTTGATGGACGCTCAATTACACCAATGCTAAATGCTTATGACAAACCTCTCCCTCCAAAACTGTGAGGTTCAATGTTAAAAGCTTCCAAGGAATCACCCCTGCAAATGCAAATTTCCAAGCGCCGTGCGAGCTGCTGGGAGAGCAGCGTGGCTTTCACTGGCGGGGTCTGGGTCTGCTCCGTAATTTCGGCTCTGTCTCTATCTGAGTTTCCACCCAGGCAGTGTCTGAAAGGCAGCAGCTAGCAGCCTTTTGGATATAAAGCATTTATGTGGTTCAATTAAAAAGTTTTTCAGAATAAACAGTAAGTTTGAGTGATTTCTTCATCTTACTGTCTGAAATGTTTTCTGTTAAAATAATTTCTTTCACGAGGGTATTTAAGAAGCCCTTCTGGTGTTGCCTCTGTTTAATAGCTTGCTAACTCCTACAGTACTGCCTACTCTAATTACTCCAATCTAATTAAGAGGGGGAAAAAACAACATACTACTGAAGGGCTAGTGAGAACAGATAGTCAAAGGGCCGTAGCAAGATAAATGGGGATCATATTGGCAGAGTAATTTGCTCATTAGCACCCTCCCTCCCCAAATTAGCCTAAATGGAAGCAGAATGAGAGAGGAGAAATAGAAACACTGATAGAGATAGCAGAGACATACTTAGAAAGACAAACTGATGTGCCATAGCTTCAAAGACCAAAAAAATGTTACAAAAAAAAAAAAAAAAAAAAGCAGAAGATCCAAAATCCAGTCTGCTTAGAAAGCAGAGAAAGCACCAGAAAAGTCCAGGAGAACACTAATGCCACAGAAAACCGGCACCCACTTCAGCCACGGCACAAAAAGCTGGTGGTTTGGCAGGAGTTTCTCGGGGGGTTGATCTACCTTATAGGCAACGCGAGCAGGACATTTCTTTCCAAGGCCTAGAGGTGGGGACATGTGTCTCAGCATCTCATACATGTCTGTGTAACTGATGCGCCCGCTTGGAGTCAAAGGCAGGGAGGCAAAAGCCAGAGGACACAGAAACCAAACCAGACCGGGTGGAGGGGGGGGGTGGGAAGGAAGGGGATGGGGAAAAAGGCAACACATCGGAGCAAATGAAAAGGAGGAGAGAGAAGGGAAAGCAGACAAGAAAACAGAGATCCGGTTAATTAGGTTTCTCAGGAAAACAAAACCAAAATAAAGAGGTGGGTAAATAGAAAGGTTTCTCCGCTTCCGTTGCTGTGTTTCCGCGCCCAACGTCTCCTCACTGCAGGGATGTCCCGCGGCCAGAGCTGCCCTCGGCACGTGGGTCCCTGCAGGGAATGATTGATGTCTCCGCTCGGGGGGGAGAGGGTGTGGGGAGGGCTCGGGTTGGGCTGGCTCTTTGCAGGGGTGGAGGGATGCTTCCCCTTCTCACCCCCCCAAACCAGTCAATCAAGAGGCTGTATTCTCCATGCCAGGGAGAGCTGGTAGGCAGAGTTATGGGACAGGGAGAGATAGGGCTTAGAGAAAATGTTCAGCTTTCCTTCAGTGAACAGAGAGTTTGGTTTTCAGGTTAGTCTGGGGGCTGCGAGAGATGCAAAAAGCCAGTCCTGGTGTGTTTGCTCAGGGGACAGACTGGGACTGCTCTGACTCCAAGCCAAGGGTGCAACTCTGCAAAACCTCAGCCAGCCTGAATTTCTCCTCCAGCCTGAATTCAGGTTTGACAAAACCAGAGCCCAGCACTCCATTTGCAGTGGTGGAAGGGGGACCTGTTTCTCCCTTACATTTGATGGGGCCCCTCCTTCATCAAGCCAAGCTGAACTGGTTGTCTCCACCACAGAGGGCAGCCGGCTGCATGTTAGAGGGTACTGGGAGTTGAAGAGATTTGGGAAGAGGCCCTCAGACCAGCCCATTACTGATGGCATCTACCTTCAGCGCATGTTGGTGGTAAATAAAATCCTTCCCTGAAAAGCAAGGGGTGCAGAAAGAGCAAGGAATTCTCCTGCTTTGCCTTTTTCTGACTACTGAAACTGAGAGCATGACTATGACAATCTCATTTTGTTTTCGCAGCGAGCTGCCTGCTTATTATATTGTGCAAATCTGTGCTGCCTGTCATCTGAGGAGACCTAAGTATATTGCAGCATGTTATTAATTAATGTTTAACCCCTGGAAAAGCAGGACAGTATGATCATCTCTGCTATACTAGGAGGGAAACCAAGACCTAAGCACCCATATGAAACCCCTTTCTCAAGCAGGACAGCTACAGAAGCAGGCACCTGCACACCAGCCCGCTGCCCTGACATGGGTCTCAATTCCTATGTAAAGCATTGGTGCAGGAGGGGGCAGAAGAGAGAACTTACCAAGCCAAAAATGTCTATTCCTGTCCTTGGTAACTAATGCAGTTAAAACACCACCCAGGTTTTATAGCCCAGAGCTAATTTAAAGGCTGCTGAGAGACATAAATTGTAATTACAGCCAATGGCTTCCCCCTGGCTTCTCTCTTCTGCCCCTGCTCCCAGGCTGGAGGTACAGGGTGTCCTGCCTTCTCTGCAGTACTTGTTAACTCTTAATCCCCAATCAGGTGTGGAAAACACCTGGGCCAGAATGAAAGAGAAAAGCAAGCTCCATGCTGGCTGCTTCCACTTCTCTCTCCTTCATCTTCTGCTCTCCATATACCGACTGCAAGAAAATCCCTGTCTGTGACTGGGACCCCACTGAAGTCCAGTGTCATCCCGTGCTGATTTCTTGGCAAGATCTGTCCTTAATTCCCCACCTCAGCTCCTAAGCACAGTATACTTTCCCTGTGCCATGAGGCAGGAGGTTTGACTGGATGTCCATCATAGCTTACGATCTCAGAGACGTAATTTTGCTCCCAGGGCAATCTCTGGCTGTTGCTGTTACACTGTGAAAAGCTCATCCCTTCATCTCTCCCAGCCTAGGTAACCATCCCACTCTGCTGCCCAGTTAACCAGCGCCCAGATCAAATGTCTTTTCAGCTCAGGAAAGGGAAGGGTTCAAATACTAGTCATTCAACAGGGGCGACAATGCTATGAAGCCCAAAGAAAATAGACTTGCTACTCCCTAGAAATCTTGGGATGACATTTCTCTCTGGTGTGCATATATAGCGAGAAAGTGCTCAGATGCTGTGCTGCTTTTCCCCAACACTTCCCACCTAGACCTGGCAGGATGGAAGCTGGAGGGTTCACTGTCTCATAAAGCTGCCTGTCTCCAGCCAGCTGGGGTGTGGGAGTAGATGGGGAAGAGATGCATCGAGGAAAAAGGAGGCAGTCAGTCAATCATTCCTTTTTTCAGGCAAGGGGTTAGTTACGTTACAGTTTCTTTTCTGTATTGTTTGCATTTGCACTTGGTGAGGGATAAAAAGAAAGAAAATCAGAACTGAAAATGCTGGAGGGAGTCTCTGAAGTTCCAAACCTTGTATGCCACCCTATGAGGGCACTTCTTTCCTAAGCCCAGGGGTGGAGCAATTACACGTAACAAATTGTACATATCCTTATAATGAATCCGGCAACTGGAAAGAAAACATCAGATGTTACGACAGCAAAAACCAAGGGGAATCAGTTTTTCCCCAGGCAAACAGGAGAAGTTGGAAGGGTAAATCACGCTGAAAAGCAAGGTTAGTCTGACAGCAACTGGGCTTGCAATGAAGGAGGCAATTTAACACAGAGAGAGAGAGAGAGAGAACTTCCAACTGCTCAACAAAATCTATATCCTTGGATTTTCTCCTGTGAAGCCTTCAGTGCCACGTGCAAGGCTTTCCAACCATTGCATTTGGTTACCTTTACCACTAATGTTTTACGTCCCTGTGCCTGAGCATCTGCCTACAGACGGCCCCTACCCACCGCCCAGGTGCTGCAGCAGCCCAGCAAATCCAGAGCCTGCAGCACGCAAATAGCCTATTTAATGGATTATTACTGGGATTCAAATTAGCTGGTTCAAAAGAGCCTGGGCACCTTTACCTTCCACTGTTACCACCTACGTAACCCCAGCAGGGCTGTACTCTGCTTCATGGGCAATAAGCAATTTGCTGGAAGTCCAGAAACTGCCATCTCGAGAGCCGTCTTGGCCATTGGCACTGGGAAAATCCAGCCTTCATTACCAGTAGGTGAAATCAGGTGCCTCGAGGTAGCTTTATGGTCAGTCTCATGAACTCCCAACAATATTTTCAGCTAATTTAACAGCAGGATTAGATTTCTTAATTTTTCGTAAGTAACCAAATCATGTACAAAAAGAGCTGTACTGAACTTCAAAATGACCTCTAAAGAAAAATGAGATGATTTGGCTTCACTATGTTTATTTTGGTATGTTCTATAAAGAAGGCTGGAATATTTTGGAATATCTCTTTCAATATTACTGCTTTTTTGGATGTGAAAAACCTTCACAACCAACTCAAAACTATTAATTCAGAAACAGATCAAATGGAACTGTGCAAGTCTTGGCTGCAGGCCTAATCGTGGTTATAAAAAGTATATTGGTTTAACTGAGTCAAGAAATTTACCGAAATTTTAGAACGGTTTTGTAAAATCAGTGTGTAGAAAATAAATATGAGCAGTTCCCTGAGCTCTCTAAGAGTCTGTGGAAGGCTTGAAAACCAGCAGATGTATTGCATCGGAAAGTCATGGCAGCAAATTATGACACACAGGGATTCTTTCGCAGGTTGTTTAAAGCTATTTGAGTTTTGTTTCTTTTCATCAGCATCCCTTTATCTTGGATAGCTAAGAAAAAGCTCTCCCTTGGGAGCACTTGCACTTCTTCCCGACCGCAGAAGGTGCTGCCAGTAGCATCTCCCTTGGCTCTTGGGAGCAACTGATGGGAATGGGATGGCAAGACCAACATTTCCAGTATCTCTAAGGGGTCTGCGCTGGGAAGGGGGGTATAAGAGAGATAAAGCGCTCACTTTATATATCTTGAACAAATAAAAGCTTATAGAAATCCAATTTTCTTTTCTTTCCCAGTTCATCCTTAAAGTCAGTGTTTTCACTCCTTTCCTGATTAACTCCCAGCCCCAGACCAAACCGCTGTGTGTGCCCCATTTCTCTCGCTCTCTCTTTTTCTGTGAGCCCGAGACTTCTGCCACCCCTAAATCCAACAGTTTCCCCATACTTACCCCTACTGAGTGTGACACACATCTAGAACAACAGCTGCTAGCTGCTTCTTTTACTTCCTTTTGAGTGTTTTTCCCCAGAAAAGTTTATAGAAAGTCAGATTTTGTAACAAAAACAAAGGTGATATTGGAAATAGGTATGTAAATATATACACATTAAGCCTATGTTTAAAATATTATCTATATAACAAGAGTATAACGACATTTGTACTTTTTACCCATGCAGCATCTTTCCTCGAGGGTGTCAAGCTACGGAAAGAAACACTGTAATTGCCTTTTCCCTGGGACAATCAAAGAATAGACCTTGAGAGAGGCAACCAGTTAGTGACAGATGGAAGTAGCAACCAGCTCACCTGCATCTGAGCATAAGATAACATTGCCTGGGAGTCATCTTTTTCTGGCAAAGTATGCTGTAGTGATTATTTACCATTCCCCTACACGTCTATACTGGGAGCTGAAATGGCTGACATGGAAAACAAAAACTGGATCAACATTTTGTTTCAAAGAGTTTGACCAACTAGTGGAACAACTGCTGGGAGCTGTACCTTAAAAGACAAGTTATTAAGCTGAGTCCATGGATAGCTATTATGAAATACCATGTCCAGAGCTTCACAGACATTCAGCCCAAATGATCAAAAGATGTGTTCTGGTCTTAGACTGTGAATGGATTTCAGATTACTCTTAAATTGTGGAAATGTTAGTCCCACTTATGAAAACATAAGTGATTTCAGTGGAACTATTCACACACGGAAAATCCAGAACATGCACATGTTTTAGGATCAAGCCTCGAGCATCACATCTTGGCTGTCCTTTGATTCACACTTCTGCCCCCGGTCACTCTGCCAACACCAACAGCTTCACACCAGAGCAAAACGGGAACAAGGTTAGAGAAAAACAGAATTAAGATCTTAATATGTGACATATTCTGTATTAACAGCTCTAGAAGTGAAAAGGTTTGGCCCCTGAGTGCCTCACAAAATGTAACTTCTGCACTCAAAAGTTAATAGAGCGAGCAAATCTTTCTGTACACTTAATGCTTCTGCCTCTTATGGGTGGAAAGTTCCTGAACACATAAACATTAAAAAAGCACACTGATACTAATTTTTCCCCTTGCAGGTGTGTTACTCCTCCCACAGATGATAATCAGAGCCAAGACTATTTTTTAAGGAGAGAGCGGGCACTCCCAAGTTTTCAGTCTCATTGAGATTTTCTAGTGGTAAGAGATAGGACTGGATTCGTAAAAGCAAAAAAAGCTATTTAGTGCCTGCCAAATACCCACAAAGGACTTGTCTGTCTTACAGAGCACATGGTAATGAAAATCTGCTTGGAGATTATGAGCTGCTAGTATGTGTGCAGTATATAGGCAGGCTTGTAGTATGGGTGGCTTTGAGCTAGTTAAAAATTACACACAGTTCAGAGAAATGCAGTCATTTTGGAATAGGTTTACATTTAAAGTTAGCCTAAATCAATTTAACTGAGATTTTAAAGCAGTTTAATTGCATCCTAGCAGGGAGTTTGAGATGCTGATTATACAAACAGTTTCTGCATCTGTCTCTACTGAAGGGAAACAAAAAAGAGTGGAAAGATTGGAGGAGCTGGAGGCAGCTTCATTACAAATACAGAAGAGATTCATTGCAGAGTAACTCGTGGGGAGGAAAATGGATACAAAATTAGTAGGGCTTTAAATTAAAAAAAGTCCCCCAACAGGCAAATTCCCAAGCTGCAGAATATCAAGGAAATTACTGTGACCTGTATCTCAGAGCATCTAGAAATGAAAATAACACAGTCACCGGGGCTGTTGTGCAGTAGCTTTCTCTGGGCAATGGAGAAAAGCAATATATTAAAGTCAGTCTTGCTCTAGAAGTGATCACTGGTCAGAGCCATTCCCTCATTTTTAAAAAATCCCTTAAAATGCTTCAGCAGTGGCTCTTGGGTCTGCCACAGCACAGTGCCACTCCTCCGCTGCTGTGGCACTTAAGCCCAGGTGTGTAGCTTTCCCTGCGAGTGTCTTTGAGCAAGAGAAACAAAGAGATAAAACCATAAACCCAAACACCTCACCACCTGGCTGTGAGAAAAACATTTCCTCCTTTAACACAGCCATATATCAAGAACATTTTATCAGAGGCTCACTGAAAACTGAAATGCTTCCGAAGTTAGGCTTATTGCATTTTCTTCTTATTATTTCGCACCTCTTCTGTTCCAACTGCAAGTCCAGAAGCTAAAATATTATTCAGAAGAACAAAATGCCCTTCTACAATTTGATGTCATTAGAAGGAGGCTTCCAAGATCAAAACATCGGGTTCGATGAGAAATGTCTATTTAAAAATCACATGTTTTCAGCAAACCACCCTCACCTTGAGAAACATCACGTCACTCCCTGCTGCCTCACAGGTGGGTGAAAGCAAATGGTGAAGACCGAGCCTGAAGCACGTGACTCAGACGCAAAGCGGTGGGGTACATCATCTCCTTTTAAGGGAGAGATAGCACCTTGAAAACTACTTTTTTTTTTTGTGTGTGTGGCCTCAGGTCTCTGCACAGGATTTGTGAAACCATTCAGGTGGTTCTCAGCTAGGAGAGAAATGCTGCACAAATGAGGTATAACAAGGCCTAGCCTCTCAAGTCACCTAAAGTGCTGCCAACGGCAAGAGATTCAGCATATTTTTATCTCCAAACCGGGATGCAGAAACCAAAGGCAATCAAAGCTCCTTTTGGAAATGTTAAACAGCTTTTCTACATGGCCATTTAGCCAAGATCATTTGAATTTACCCTATTAATTTTTGGTCATGTGTGTGTGGGGAGGAGGGTGCGTTTTGCCTTCTTGATTTGTTGTTTATGTCTATCTTGTGTCTATTTGAAGGAAATGCCCTTGTAATGACATCAGGTTGTTCATCTCCAGTGTGCAGTGAATTGAAGTTGGAGCATTTACCACCACCGTTACCTCAAGCTTTGGAGTTGTTTTCCTTCTGGAGCTGTACTCACATTAAAACAGGCTGTTTGTGTGTATGGGTATGGTATTTATACACAACGTATATCCTTTTCTCCACATGTAACAGTGTACATACCAGGCAGCTGGGTCATACTCAGCCCAGACACGAACAAACTCATCCAAGTGATGGGGCCCAAGGATGGAGGAGTCTCTTGTCAGATACTCAAAATTGTCCATAATCACAGCCACAAACAGGTTTAACATCTGCAGAGAGGAAGCAACAATGCAGTTAGAGAGAAAAGAAAAAGAAAAAAAGCTGGAAGGGGAGCAGGTCTGACTCCGTTAGCAGGGTGTGTGGTTTCTACAAGAAGCAGCCGCACCCCGGAGAATAAACCCTACAAACGCAGCCCTGGCTCCCTGGGGACCCTGCTGCCACCTCCGCCTGCCCTGCACGCTGCAAGCCACTTCCAGCTCTGCAGTAAGCGGCAGGTTTGCCACGGCTTTTGACCACGGACAGGTTGGCCATGTCCCCGTCACTGGTGATGCCCCACAGCATGACCCATCCCAGAGCCCGGCTCAGCACCTCTCCCTTGCCCCTTCTTCATCCTACGCCAGGACAGACCAGCACACGGGCTGCTTCACCAACCGGGTGATGTGCACTCTTCCAGTACTTTCATATCGAGGCACATCAAGACAAGAACAGCTAGAAGAAAAACCATTCTTCAGCCTGAATGTCCTATTTTAGACCCGTAACAGTTCAAACCTTCAAAGATCCCCAGAAAGACAAGGGGCAGGCTCCAGTCCCTAATGGCCGCTGTCTAACACAGAGCCCGGCAAACACTTCTGGCATATAAAGATTCTCCTCTTATTAAAGCCAACAGAAGAGTCACGAGGATTTCAACGGGAAAAGATCGAGCTGCAGCCAGCAGAATGGAAGAGCAGGAGGGCAGGCGGGAACGGATGCTCCTGTGCCGGATAAAGACCTGACTGGCACAAGGCCCCTTTCTACCTTCATGGTGTCTTCTGGAGGCAGGCTGAGCTGCTGCCGTGAGCGCTGCTCCCTTGCTGAGCAAGGAGGACTGCGGTGAAGCAGCCCGTGAGCTCTTGCGCGGGGATGAGCAGCGTTAAAGTGAATATGGATGTCCCCGGCTGGTCTGCCGGTCGTTAAAAGAAAATCAGGTAGTGGAGTTTGGGGTTTGTGCAGTTTTAAAGAATTCATATTCCCGTGTGACCTGGAGGGAGGAAGGGGTCTTGGCTCTTGCTGGGACACACGATCCACCAGTACAAACAAGAGTCCATAACGAATCACCACGTCACCACCAAATGCTAATCAGGAACTTCCCAGACCTGTAGTCCATCTATTTTTTAGAACCCACCCCAACAGAAAGCAGGGAGCAGCCCCCAACATATCAATGTCCTACACCAGAGCACTGGGGTTTCTTACACCACCCAAGGGTCTTCTCCAGGCCATGCTGCACAGCACACAGCTGGGCGCCCCAGCTGCAAACAAGGCTTCTGCCTCTGCAGCAACCTGCGTGAATTCACTCCTGCAGCTGAGCGTTAAGGCTTGTCAGCTCGAATGCAGCATTACACTGAACAGCTCTGCTGGCTTTGGGGAACCAAGCCAGTACTTCGTGCCACCCCGGTTCCCGGATGCTCGCGGGGTCTGTGTGCAGCACAGCCTAGACAAGCCCTGGGATCTCGGTGCCATGCACAACGCAGTGCTGGACAGGGATGTCCAACCCAGCTCTCACTAAGCTACTCAAAGACTGGCAGCACTATAACCACATCAGCAGGGCTCGCTCGGGTGCTGCAGGTACCCCACAGAACCCCCAGAGCATCAAGAGACAGCAAAACTTTTGAGAGTTTGATCCCAATCCCCTTGCCATTATTCCCAGCTCCAGCCATGGCTCAGTACAGTTTTCCCTTGTTTGCATACAGCTGTTTCTGAAGTTCCTGTATAGTTTTAAATTTAAATTTATATTTTTCAACACTGTAAATTACTGAAGGAAAATGATGTCAGGCTGGACATCCACAAAGAGCCAAAAACACATTTAAAAACAAATACATTTTATCCCATTCCCCACCAATCTATGGTGTAAAAACATCGAACAAACCATAAAAATGTGCCCTCCTGGCCAGGCTGTGGCTCTGTAACGCTTTAATCGCTTGTGGGGAACCACATGTTTCATTGCAATGAAGTGCTGAATGCATTTTAAGAAATGAGTTACAGCCCTGTCCCGTAGCAGTCCAGCTGCTTGTCTTTCCGCTGCCTATTTCTGGAGCCTGCCCTCCCTGCCTTTGCTCTTCCCGAGGGCTCTCCCCTCTCTCTGCCAGCAAGCCCAGGGTGTGTTTTCCCGGGGTTTTCCGGGAGCGCTGACTCAGGGACAAAGCTCACACAAAGCTGTATTTTGCACAGATGTGTTCCAGCCTCCGATTCTGCTACTACATTTCGAGTGGGACAGCTGCTATGAGCCAGGGAGGCTGAGTCTGGGGGGTGTTGTTTGGGTTTTTTTTAAAGAAAATGCTTTAGAAACAATAATGCACTTGAAAATAACAATGAGAATGTCTGATGTTGGGTTAGGGATTTGTACAAGGAAAAAATTTGGCTTTAAAATACAGAATGCTGAAGGAATCAGTAAATGGAGCATTAACTTTGTATAAGCTTTCAGGGCTCCATGTTTTTTAATATATGCAGAAGAAATAAACCACGGGATGTCAAAGGAGCAACAGCAGTCGGACAAAGGATCTCAGTAGGGGCCACTGAAGTTGGTCTATCTATACCCAGCATCAAACTGCCACGTGTACCTCTTTTTCCTGGTTAAAGGTTTCTGGTGATAGCAGGGATTAGCTGCACAAAGCATCAAACCTTATATTTTAAAGCAAACCCATGGAACCGAATGTAGGCTCGATACGTTGCTTTTTGGTACATTTCAGAGCTGTGACTTTCATCTCTTCATGCTTGAAGCTTAATTGGGTCCCTGTCCCTGGTTTCCCATTCCTCTGTCCCATTGGTGCAGGAAAGTGAACCAAGACCCAAGAGCAGAGAGCTTTTTATGCAAGCAAGTTATCAGAAAGACACTGGCACCTATTAAAGCTTAGACCCCGCCCCGTATGACGGCCACAGACACGAATCAAGTACAACATACCGAAAGCCTTCCTAGCACCATTGCAGAAGAAAACGATCATTGCATTTATTTGACAAACAAAACAAAACGCAAGGCATCGAAGAAGTGTGATGCTGCCTGCTGCAAGCAGTTCTGAACCAATGTGATCTTGGCCATTCTCACCCTGCCCTCCCCAATCCCCTTCTTCAAAGGACCATGTTACAAATCAAGACAAAACAGATTAATGCTTAATTCCAAATATTAGACCCCCCTGTGAGAAGAAAGATAAAAACCTTCCCTTTAAACTACCGACTAAATGATCTCTTTGGGGATTAAAGGGATTTTATCACCAAGATGATAAACGGTTTTTAGCGAAGCTGCCTTGCAATATTGGATAAATCATAATTAGGGAGAAGGAGGAAGCAAGGGAGTGGGGAGGGAAGGGCTGGCGGGGGGAACCACACCGGCACCTCTGTTTTGGGAGAGATCAGGACCGACTTACCAGGAAGGAGCACAGGAAAATGAATGACACGAAGTAGAAATAGGCAAAATCGCTGCCACATTCGTTTTTGGTGAGGCCGGAGAGCGGGTCGCAGGCTCTGTTACTCAGGCACGACAGCATGATCTCGTGCCAGGCTTCCCCCGTGGCGCTCCTGCAGACGGGGAGGGCAGAAGGTGAGCTTATCCAACCCCCTCCCTCCTACAAGGGGCATCCACCTTGCGGTATTACTGTCCCCAATTAACTAAATTAATTAGGTGGAAGGTTGTGTCCAGGTGGAGAGACTATATTTACATTAGGAATTGGAACTAGCAGCCTGCTGACATGAAAAAGAAAGGAGAAAGAACATTTCCCTCTATTACAGAGGGGTAAAAGAAACCAAACAGGCTCAGGTAGGCTAAGCTTTATTGGTTTTATGGAGAACAAAACCAAATTGATTCAAACATGTCCAGTGCAAAGTGCAGATGTGAGTAAACAGAGTTTAGATTGTTCCCTTTTGAAGCAGCTAACATTTCTGTCCTAGTGCTGGCTGTAAACCCAACGGAGATGTTGGGAAATGAGGCCAGGCTTCTCCACTTGAATCTCTTATTTCCTTTATCAGGCAGGTACAGAAATACCAGGATGGTCTGGTTGGTCATAGTGACTTGGGTTCCTTCCTCAAAACAGTCTCCTGGGTTTTCTTTATCATTTCCCTCCTCTCCCTCTAATTTCTACTATAGGGAGAAAAACAGCCAAAAGGAAAAAACTTTGGAGTCCCAGAGGGTCTTTCCTCAAAAGAAACCATCCCCTGCAACATGCACGCATGGATCAGAAGCTGGGGGATCCCCATGTTTGCTTAACCCTGACTTCCTACATAACCTCAGATTTTCCCTCTGTCATTTCTGCACCACGCTCAGAGGTGCTTTTAGGGACACCCCTCCACCGCGCCGCAAACAGCCCATCCTGTTGCAATGTTGTTCGCAGCCATGCTAATTTGCACACAGAGCCAGCTCACAAGCCTTCCTCCTGGTCTTTGAGAAAACTTGATGCTCAACGTAAACTGAAGTAGCTTCCAGGTTACTATATTTAGCGGCAGAATTATACAGCAGATTCCCCCACTGGTGGCATTGAGTCCTGAAGCCCCATTCCCTTGTGCAGAACCCCGCTCCCCCATCGCGGTCCTGCTGCCTCTGCCCCTTCTGTCCCATTGCGGCTGCCGCGTGGGTCTGGAAAAGGACCAAGAGGTCTGGATACGAGACTGAATAATTATCCGGTTTTATTAAAATTCAGAGTTTTGAGTCGAGTGATTATTCTGAGCTAGAGAGGGCTAATTTCATTTCCGTCTGGCTTCACAGAAACTATGCAAACCAAATCCCAGGCAAGATATCCAGTTACAAGCGCCGCATAATCCACAGAACCGAGCCTCGGCGCGGCTGGCAGGCGCTTGCGGGGCCAGAGCAGTTATTATTGCTGTGCCTCCACGCCACACGGCACACATCCAGATAAGTGAGATCTTCCCCAAGCTGCCCCAATTTGGAGCAGGGCCTGCACTTCATTGCTGCCAGGTCTGAAAATGAAAATCTGTCATTTCATTCTTTTTTTTTTCATGCGAAAATGCTTCATTTCCAGGCAGAATGACCCCAGATGCAAACACTTTCACTCTGAAGCAGAGGTGGCATTGATATATGAAGTGTTAACTTGTTGGTAATGCAAAAATGACCAATTAAAAGAATTCTCACTTCAAAAAAAAAAAATGATAGTAAGCTTCATGACAGGAACCACATCGATCAGTTAAACCAGGCGGTTTCTGTCTTATATAAAGCTTCTGCCTGAATTGACGTGGGATGTCACAGCACTGGGTGTCACTTTGTGGAGATGCTGGTGTGTTGAATCAGATCTATGATATTCGGAGATGTGCCAGGCCATCCCTTAACGCCGAGGAGGAAGAAGCAG